CATTCCCACCAACAGTCCCTTTTCTCCACAGCCTTTCTAACATTTATTCTTTGTGTTCTTTTTGCTAATAGTCATTTTAACAAGTGTGAGGTGATATTTCATATGGCTTTAATTTTCATTTCTCTGATGATTTACAATGTTGAGCATTTTTTCATGTACCTATTGGCCATCTATATTTCTTGTTTGATAAAATGGCTATTCAATTCTTTTCCTAATTTTTTAATTGTGTTGATTTTTTTAAATGTTGAATTGGATGAGTTGCTTGTATATTTTGAATATTAACCCCTTACTGGTCATATCATTTGGAAATATTTCCTCCCATTCAATAGATTTTTTTTTTGTTATGTCCTTGGTTCCCTTTGCTGTGAAAAGCTTTTAAGTTTAATTAGTTCCTATTTGTTTATTTTTGCATTTATTTCCTTTGCTTTAGGAGGCAAACCCCCCAAAAATATTATTATGATTTATGTCAAATAGTGTTCTGCCTATGTTCTCTTCTAGGAGTTTTGTGGTTTCAGGTTTTACATTTAGGTTTTTAATCCATTTTTAGTTTATTTTAATGTATTTTTCATGATGTTAGACTATTTTAATTCCATTCTTTTACATGTAGCTGCCCAGTTTTCCCAGCATCACTTATTGAAGATGCCACTTTGTCTCCATTGTGTATTCTTGCCTCCTTTATCATGAATTAATTGACCATACGTGTGTGGGTTTATTTATGGGCTATCTATCTTGTTTCATTGATCTATATTTCTGTTTTTGTGCCTGTTCCATACTGTTTTGATTATTGTAGTTTTTTAGTGTAGTCTAGAGTCAGGCCGCATGATTCCTCCAGCTGTGTTCTTTCTTTTTCAAGGTTGTTTTGGCTATTTAGAGTCTTTAATGTTTCCATATAAATTTTAAAATGATTTTTCTTGGTTTTTTGAAGAATGCCATTGGTAATTTTGATAGGGATTGCATTGAGTCTGTAGATTGCCTTGGATAAAACTAATGTTTACTGAGTTCCTACTATGCACCAGGCCCCATGCTAGGCACTAGGGAAACAAGGATGAATGAGGCATAAGATTTCTGCTCTCATGAAGCTTTATGCCCAGACAGGTAGACAGAAATCAAACAAGTGAATAGGCAGTAGGTACAATGTTTATTAACTCTGATAAGTTACTTGAAGGAAATAGGCAGATTGATGGCACAGAATTACTGAGGGAGGGTCGAATGTAGTGGAGGAAGAGAGGGGGAGGAGTTCATGGAAATCTTCTCTGAGGAGGTGACATTTCAGACACAACAATTGGCAGACATCCCTGATTCATTAAAAAAAAAAATCACAATGTTTTTGTTGTTGTTGTTTTGCTTATATTAACAGAAAGATAAGTCTGCTTTATCCCATATATATAGTCTGGGGTCCCAGAGAAGTCTATTTTTTTCTGTTTCCTATTGACAGCTTCTCCAGCATCCAGCATTTGCAGCAGCTGTCACATCTCTCCTATCCCCACGAGGCCCTCCTCCCCCTGAACCCCTTCAAGCAGCCTCCAGAGGCTTAGGTGACCCAGACACGTCCTGTAGTTACTAAGAACAGACAGTTCCTAATAATAGTTCTTAGCAGAAAAGATCCAGGTAAACAAGGGGGTCCCAGAGACTCCCACTGTAAAGGCTACGTGGACTCTCCAAACATCTTGGGAATAATTGGTCCAACTCCTATGACATTGCTTATTCATTTCTCTAGGGCTGTTGCTAACTGCTGGCTCTCATCAGGCGTTAATTCTCTGACATTGGTAGGGAGCAGGCGAGGTTAGAAACCTTCCAGTGCTCCCGCTGGAAGCCCTCTCTCTCTCTCCAAAACAATTTATTTTTTTTCAATGTTAAAATCATGTCCCTCCCCCCTGGTTTGAACACCAAAACAAATCCAGCTGTCCTCAATGCTGGGTCCAAACCACAGGCGTGTGGCTGGAAATTCAAAGAGGCAGCAGGAGGAGCTGCTCAGAGTCTGGCTCCTCCAGACTCCTGCTGGGCGCTACTCAGGAGGCAGGGAGTCTGTGTTCTGCAAAGGTCCAGCCTCCCCTTCTTCAAAATTAGGCAGGAAGACACCTCAAGGGCAACAGTTCTGCCCTGCCTCCAGGGAGCCTATGCAAACTCCTGGGGCCTCTGGGTTAGCTGATACGCCCCTTCCCTACCTGCCAGGAACGGTCCCCAGCAGCTCCAGGGGCTCCCAGGGAGTTAGAAGGCTGAGGCCCGAGACCCCGGCAATGTGCACAACTGTTTTCTTTGCTTGATTTGGAGATAAAAACAACTGCTGCTTCTTGCTTTCTCACACTTTCCACTGAGGTCACTTGGGGCAAGACTGAGTCAAGGCTTCCAGAAGGTCTGGCAATAGCGTGGAAGCAAACAGTGGTGATGTTAGCATAGGACACACTCTACCCAGCCCCCTCCACAGCCGAGGAATAGAGCTGCATCACACAGCTTGCAAAACTGGCCTTGAGTGGCCTTCTTGCCACTTTTTTCACTTCCTGGGGTCTTCATTCAGCCTCACCTATAGATATGATTTCCCCTGACTCATATCCCCTCTCTCCCCTACACTCCACCCCTGTCATGCTCAGGACTGGAGGTAGGGTAAGGTAAGTGAGGTACACAGGGTACAAAATTAAAGGTGACAGTCATTCTTCAGGTCATGCAATTTCAGTGTTTTTTGTACCTTGGGTGCCTCATTCTCCCCATCCTACTACAGGTCCTGCACATGCCACCTAAACCTGCTCCCTGAGGATATATTTCATTTCTCTGACCTCTCCCAAACTCCATTCATTAGAAAGAATCTATGTATGGCTTCTCTGTAAAAGATCAAGACTAGCTTGGAGAGGTCTTTTTGTTTGTTTATTTTTTGGCCAGGTAGTACTTGGATTTTTTTCTGTTGTTGCCATTATTTAAAATTCAGAAGAGTTCCAATGGGAAAAAATATCCTCATTTCTAGCTTCTTTCAGCAACACAGAAGATATGCCCCTTCTGGTTGGAGAGGAGCCACAGTTGCCTCTCTGTCCCACCTGTGCCAACTCACCATTCATATTACCTTCTTAGCCCCCATAGGCATTTGAGGTAGAACCTTTGACCTAAAGGCAGATTATGTCCAGACATGAAGTAATAGAATTGTCTCTTATGGCACAATTCTGGCAGCAGTGACTAGCCAGGGTGGGAGACTGGGGCAGAAAGAAAATAAGCAAGATTTCCTGATGTCCTTGAACTCAGATCATGGAGGCAAGTCCCCATTTCATCTGCCAGGTTGCAAAAAAGACTAAAACCTGCAATGTGGAGGAAGAAATATGTTATGTGACAGCATCAAAAGCGCTGTGGAGAAAAAGGGACTAAACTTGAGTTGAAAACTGCCCAGGAGGCCTGCCTGTGTATCACACATTTGCCCCTGACTTCTGTGTGATGTTGGATACAACCCCTCCAGAAACCTCAGATTCCTCATCTGTTAATAAGGAGAGTCAGGCTGTATTATTTCTGAGATCCCTTCTGGCTCTAAGTCTCTTGAATGTAATACTTACTATTCTTTAGTGGAATTATTCTAGTAAAAAGAGAATCTCAGAACATTTGTTCAAGCCAGCTTAAAGGAGCAAGTGAGCAGGGACCAGAAACCACATTTCATTGACAGCATGGAATTTTGCAAGTTTCTCAGTGCTCTACTTATCCTTTCATAAGTTCTCTGATTCTGCTGAGAATATACACTTAGAGGAGCTCAAGCAATAGCTTGACTCAACAATCTCTTGCGTTAACAACCTCCTGTCTGCTTGAAAATTCACTGGATGTGAAATCTAGTCTGCTAAAGGCGGTGTCTCTACCTTGAAGATACTGGAGTAGAAGAAAACTCCCTGTCCATACTGTGGGAGGCAGTCAAAGTGGAATTCAAGGTAACAGGCATTAACAAAGATCTAAGCAGCACTCTATGCAATGTGGACTGTGGGAGGAAACCAGGAACTACCTCCAGGAGTAAAGCCCAGTCCTTGTCCTCGAAGAGATTACAGTGGTCAATACAATACCTGCAGAACCCAAATGCACAACAGAGTAGAAAAGTTCATCAGATTACATCAAGTGCTAGGAGGAGTCAAAAAAGGAAGAAGTTACATAGGCCTCAGAGGTAAAATTTAGACTAGTAGTGAAGGATGAATAGATGAGGATGGGAAGGAAAGAACAGAAGCTTCAATCACTGATCTACCAAGGCTGAAAGCTTCCTACTGCCTGCCATGACCCTAAGCACTAGGATGTAAGGGTTAACAAGACAGGAGGAGTCCTGCTTTCATGGCACTAACTTTCTAGTTGGGGACTCAGGTTGTGGTTTAGTTACTAAGTCATGTGCAACTCTTTGCAACCCCATGGACTGTAGTCCACCGGGCTCCTCTGTCCATGGGGTTTCCCTGGTAAGAATACTGGAAAGCATTGTCATTTCCTTCTCCAAGGGATCTTCTACACCCAGGGATCGAACCTTGGTCTTCTGTGCTACAGGCAGTCTCCTGCGCTGCAGGAGGATTTTTTACCAACTGAACCACCAGGGATATGCTTAGACAAGTACACAAATACATAGGATAACTTCAGATATTGTTGAGTGCCATGCAGAATGTGAAATGAAGTGATTATCACAGAAAGTATCACTGTGAGACCTATGCTGGGGAATAGGCAAGGAGTGAGGACTCACCTTCCTATTCAATACCCGAGGGGCTAATACTCACCTTTATCAGAGTTGTTGATCTGGATCTTATCCCAACCCGATGTCTCCACCTTTTGGCATGGCTCAGCATTGGGGGATGCAGGGGCCAGAGCCAGAATCCCCCCTGGAAGCACAAGCTCTGCCCAGCAGTCACTCAGGATGGGTTCCAGCTCCAACTGTCAAGAAGCTTTGCCCCTGGAAGGACTGGGAGATGAAACTGCCTTCATGTGGCTCAGAAAACAGATCCAGGCTTGGCCGCACTTGAGAGCAGTTTGGAAACTTCACACCAAGTTTTGCTTTCTTTTTTTCACAGGCCCTCAAAGTAAACCACAGGAATAGACTTCTGCAGGCTTGGATACCCTGGCTCCCCAGCTCCCATGAGTGGCCAAGGGCCTTTCTTGACTTGGAGACACACCCACCTCCTCATCAGTATGGTCATCTTCTTTCCAAAACTGAACCTACCTTCCACAAAGGGGCCAGCATTCCCCAGGCTGGCTCCAGGCAGAGGTGCAGGATGACTAGAGCTGTGAATGACCACCACCACCGAAACACCCCTGATCTAATGACTCCCACACAGCGGACACCAAGTTAAATACATGTATCCTGACATCTGATGGCCAGAACAGCTTAATGAAGTAGGTACAACTGTTTTCTTCATTTATCAGATAAAATGAGGCACAGAGAGCAACTTGCAACTAGTACTTGGCAGAACCTAGGTTCAAAGCTGGTTCTGACTCCAAAGCTGGGGCTCTGCGGCCCCCCAGTCTCCTATTTCTCAATGTGCTGCCCCTTCCTCTACCCGCCAAGTACCCGTTGCCTTGCAGCTGCAGTTTCTCAGGTAAACATCATTCCCCCCACATGCAGCTCTTTTTTCAGGAGAGTCTCAACTCTGCCATGAATTAGTTCTTTGACCCTGGAAAAAGTCCTTTTCATCATTTGTGCCTTGGTTTGCTCATCAATAAAATGGACGTGCCCTGCCTTTTATATAGTTGATGTAGGGAATTAATCCTCTGCTCCTAAAACTTCAGAAACTTGTTTTGGGCACATAACCAAAAGGTCTTATCATATTTATGCAGAAGTGACTCACATAGTCAGAGGTTCAAGTCCTGCCTGGGGCAGTGAGTACCCAGGAGGTCTCCACAAATAGACTGGAGTCACAGGTGTCTGCACCAGGGGCAGCTCTGTCCCTGCCAGCACGTGCTGGCAAAACTTGCTCTTGGCTTCTTCCACAGAGACAAGTCACATTCCACAGCCCGGCAGCCCAGCACCGGGAAACAGCCCTGCCCAAACATAGGAAAAGTGAACATTGAAGGAGCTCTGTTTGTTTATAAAAGCTTTATGAGCCTCCGAGCTCTCATTTGGTGCCAAGGTGAGAAGACAGGGAAGGAGAGAGACTGGGTCCAAGGAAAACATGGAGAATCTCCTTGTTCTTAGCCATTAAACAGAAGCGCTGTCTCCCCCAGGTTGAGGTCAATAGCTTTCCCTACAAACTGGCTAAGCACTACTGTGTTCCACGCTCAGACCTGGGTCTGATGAACAAGAGCCTGAAAGCATCATTCTAGAGCTCGTATCACATCTGCTGTGTTCATTTCCGGGAGAAGTTGTAACAGGTACCCACAAACTAGGTAGCTTAGAGAAATAGAAGTGTATTACTTAACAGCTCTGGAGGCTAGAAGTCCAAAATCAAGGTGGTGGGAGTGCCATACTCCCCCTGAAATGTACAAGAGAAAGATCCTTCTGGCCTTTTTGAGCTTCTGATAGTGTTACTGACTCTGGTCCTTGGACTCTTTAATCAATAGAAATTGATGGGATGACAGTGTTTACAAGGTTGGCACTCTGGCACAGGGTCAGTGTGGTTTCCTTGAGGTCTTGGTGGTACGTCCACCACAGCAGGGACAGTGGTCCCTCTCAGTCCAGTTCTACGAAGTGATGTTTTCATTGCTCCTGCAAGCTTAGCTTCAAGCCTGGCTCTCCCTTTGTCCTAACAAATCTGACAGCTCCCAAGACCCTTTCAATAAACAGCTTCTCTCTGGCAGAGTCACCTTCTGCTACTTGCCACCAGAGTGACACCTATCACTACACAGATTCCCCAGTCGGTTTATGTATCTACATAGTAATAAACAGAGCCAGTCAATTTCTAATCAGTTTGGTCAAAGTAGGCAACAAATTCATTCTGATCCTGAAAGGAACTTCTGGCCAAAGTTGTATAAATTGGTTTAAACCATGCTGATCATACAACCCATCAATGGCTAAATCTCCAGTTCATATTGAACTTTATTTCTGGAGTCTAGGTGTCAGAAATCAAAAAGAAACTAGGCTTGCCCGAATGAATCTTCTGAAAGAAGTTTAATTGAAAATTGCAGGTATCCTTTTACCCAACAGTTCTCAAACATTATATCCTCAAAATGATTTTACACTCTTAAAAATACTGAGGACATAAACAATGTTTGTCTGTGTAGGTTATATCTATCCACACCTACTGTATTCAAAGTTAAAACTGAAAAAAAATTATTAATTTATTTTCAAGAATATTAAAAATACTATGTGTTCACATAAACATAAAATATTTTTTAAAAAATAACTATTTTCCAAACAACAACAAAAATAATTTGTAAGAAGAGTGGCATTGTTTGACATTTCTGCAAAGTTCTTTCCTGTCTAGCTTAATAGAAGATAGATTCTCATATTTCCTTCTGCATTCTTTTTGTTGAGTGTCACATGTCATGTGGCCTCCAGAAAATTCTACTGTGTACTTATGAGAGAATAAGAATAGAAGAGGAGCAAATATCATTTTAACATTATTATGAAAATAGTTTTGACACAAACCTCTTGAAAAGATCTGAGGATCTCTCCGGGGTTCCCAGGCCAGTTTGAGAACAATTACTCTAATCTCCAAATCTTTTCATGCCTTACATCCTTGGTTTCAAATTCGAAGTACAGCTTATTGATATGACTGATCACTTTTACATCCTACCTGTCAACCTAATAATGTGGCCCCATCCTTCAGAATTATTCTTTTCTCTGGTCCATAATCCCTCTGCCTTGAGATGCTATTGTATTAAAAGCTCTGTTCAGGAAGTCAGAAGCCCTGGTTCTGCTACTAACTAGCTGTGTCGTCTTAGATAGCTCAATTGTTCACTCTAGGTCTTGGTTATCCACTTGACAAATAGATACTTGTTTACTTCATAAGATGGCTTAAAGATTAAATTGAATAGTAGGCATAACAATGCTTTTAACACATGTATGTAATCAGATATTATACCATTATGTAAAATGCTTGTATTATTTAGGATGCTTTGGATTGCCAGTAATAGATAGTATGACTCAGACAAGCTTAAATTTATTGACTCGATTTACTGAAAAGTATAAATGTGGCATGAGCCTTAAGCATGGTTTGATCCAGAGGATCCCATGGGCATCCAGGCTCTGGTTCATGTTTTCTGCTCTTTCCATTCCACTCTCTATAGTTTCAGTCTCAGCTAGTTCACCCTCCTGTTAGTAACAACAACCACTGGTTCTAATCCTACCTTCTTATGCCATTCCACCTGAGGTAAGAGATAGAACCAATTCCAAAAGTTTTCATGAAAGAGAGAGACACTTTCTAACCTAGAAATCCTTAGCAGATGTTTCTTCTTAGACCTAAACTGGGTCAGGTGCCCACCCTTGAACCAGTCACCAAGGTCTGGATAATAAGATAAGCTGACTGGCGGATCTGATCAAAGTTTACCCTGGAACTGGGGGTAGAATGACTTCTCCAAACCACATGGCTTAGAAACTCTGCATTCTGTTAAGAAATGAGAAGATAGCAGTAGTTGTTTGGAAGGTACTTAGTGAATGTCCAATAAACATCACAGATCTGATTTACTGACCAAGGAAAATGACTGCAACATACTTACAGTAAAAATTAGATATCTTACAAAATACGTTTATGTGTGTGTATAAAATTCACTCAGTTGAAATAACTGAGGGATAGCATTCCAGGTAACTATGCAGTCTTATTTATTTAGTAGTTTGTTTTTGGCTCATCTAGCTTTTATAGAATATAAAGTATTATACTTTATGTCATTTTCAGTACAGGAACAAGTGTGTTATAAAATTATGAAGCAGGTCACTGAATACCCCATTTACTAGTCCTATCTTAGTCTTGGGTTCTAGCACCCAATAGCTTTCCATCCTAGGACCTAAGGCTGACTTCGACTGCCATCTCTCATGCCACCTGATGGAACCCTCAGCAAAGGGCTGAGCTAGCCTCAGTAAACGTCTCCATCCGTGTGCATTTTTCTTCAACACCCCTAAGGAATCAGTAAGTCAGTGTTTCTTGCTCAGAATAGAAAGTAGTCTATTTTCATTCATATGCAATTCTAATTTTCACTGGTTCTCTTCCCCTTTCCTCCCCCTCTCCCCAAGCCCTCTATCAGCTCCCATGACCTCATCATGATATTTAGAATAATAGTCTTTTCCCACAGGTCATCAGCTTCTAAAATAAATATATTTCCATCAACGGAAGCTGCAGAGTCACCAAAATTATTATACTTTCGTTCAGAGTCACAAGCTCATTAAAGACTGATTATTGTGCTTTTCCGAAAAGAATGGCAGCGGAAGAAGCAGGATGATTCTTTATTATTTAACTAGGGAAAGAGATGCATAGGCAGATTAAAAGGCAGTCTTTGGAGGTGGTAGCTGAGATAGCTAGCAGGTGAGAAAATGAGGGAACAACAATCAAAAAAACCACTAAGTTCTTAATAAGTATTTCATTAGACTCTGAATTTTTCTGGTAGACACCAACAACATTGAGGCAGCTTGGGCAGAAGGAAGACTCCAGAAGCCAAGAATTCTGGACCCCATACTGCACCTTGCTCCACACTCAAAGCTTGTGCACCTTTCTGAACTCTTGAAATTGGGTAAAACCCAAGATGGCAAATGACTGACATCTCTCCGCCACCCCCTTTCCTCTTCCTGGCAGCCATCACCAATCCATTCCAGAATCCTTTCCCAGTGAGGCCCAGATATGGCCTGAGAATCAGCATTGTGCTCCAAGCAACAACTCTCTACCTCCACTTATCAGTGAACCCGTGAGACTGTCTATTATCCCTGGGCTAACAATTTCTAAAATGTTTATAAACTGTGACACTTTCATTTCCCTTTGCTGACCCAGCCTTATTCATTTGTTAAATGCTCATATCTGGCATTTAACAATCAGTCATAACATTATTAGCATCATTCATAAAAACAGCTGTTAGTTACTGAATGCTTACTTTTGAGAGGAGGTTGAAACAATGGCGACACATCTGACTTTGAATGTCAGAGGAAATTTCATGTGCAAGAGACAATAAAATCTGTGCAGCCCCAAGAGATAAAACTGGTGCCACTGAGTGTGAATTACAGGAAGACAAATTGTGGTGTCTACAAGGCAATGGGCTGACCCATATGAGAACATTTCTCTGTTTCTGAAGCTATTTCAGACAAAGTGGGCTCAACCACTGCCCAGGGAGGCTGTAGAACATGACTCACAATGTTAAGCACCTACAGGGACCAGGCAGATAAGGTAATTATGTGAGACAGACCCAGTGTAAGCAATGCTGGGCATGGTAAGGCCAATGATGACCAGAGAGCACATGTCTTGTCTAAAGGGAAC